TTTTTTTTACCATCGTGGCACGACGTTCAACGCGTTTTAAAGTAAATTTATTCGACGAGCAGAAAGAAAGAGAAAGAGAAAGAGAGAAGGCACGTTACGCGAGGTAGATACCACACACACACATTTATGCACACATTCATACATACATACATACATACATATATACATGCATGCATACGTACACGTGTATAACCGTAAAAGGTTCCGACATGATAGAAAGATAAAATAGCGTTGACTAGAAAAATGCATAAAAAGTTCTTTTTCTTGTCTGACTTTCCTTGATGTTTCAAGTAACATCATATAGGCCTTTATCATCAGATAAGAATTTTCCGATAACTCAAAAAAGATATTATATAAATAGATAATATATTATAGATATTTTTTTAACTCGAGTCAACACGGACGAAATGATCAATATTTTCATTTCTCTTGCAATATCAATCGTACAAAATTACGTGTATTATCGAAAAGTCGAACGAATTATGAATTCTTTATTCTATTTCCTTTTTATTAATTTAATTTTTTTTTTTTTTAAATAATTTAATAATTGTTTCTTATATTTATAAAGAAATAATAAGAATAATTTATATTATTAACCCTTTAAGTGCTGAATACTTTTACTTACAATGTTTTGTAAGAATAGAATAATTTATTATTAACCAGATTCTATAATAATAAATTATATTTAAAAATTAAAGTTTTTTTAAATGAATATAATTTAATTATTTAATAATATTTTTATAAATTATATATTATATAATATATAATTTATATATTTTATTTTACTATGTATTTTATACTTATTATATTTTCTATTTTATTTATATATTTTATTTATATTATGTAATATATAATTTATAAATATTTTTATATTAATAATTAAATTATATTATATAATATAAAATATATATATAAATTATATATTATATATTTTATAAAATTATTATTTGACATTAATATTAACAAACACTATGCTCTATATATGTATCGAACAACTTAGATTAGTAATTTTTATCAAACGCATATATGTGTCCATAGCACTCAAAAGGTTAATTCTTTTCCTTTTTTTTTTTTTTCTTATTACTTTTTATTTCTTAAAGAAAAGAAAATTGGATATAAAAAGGGGTTTTGGTTTATGGGGATAATAGGATAATAGAAAATGAAGAGCAGGCGCACTTACTTTCAGTTGTATGATGGTTTGCGCCGATATATTGTGCCCCTGCTCCTGTAGTCCCTAGAAGTACGTCAACTACGGGTAAAAACCAAATCGCTACTGAACGGCAAAACTTAATGGTCGGTGGTTGGTGGTTTTTGGTTGGTGGTAATATGGGGAAAAAAAAAAAAAAAAAAAAAAAAAATATATGAAAGAATAATAAAAAGAATATATTATAAAAAAAAAAAAAAAACAAAAGAAAAGATCTTCGAAACGTGTTGTTAGATCGTGGTAATTTTCTTTCTTTGTTTATCCATCGATCTTTTCACCATCATCCGAGAGATCAGATGATTGTGAAAGTAAAGGAAAAAATTGGAAGAAACTTTAGGATTTGTTTTGATCGGGGCGAGGAGAGGGGAGGAGAGGGGAGGGGAGGGGCGGGCGGAGGGTGTAGATTTGAATAAAAGGTAATTCAGGGCAAAAGGGATATAAGGGTTAGAATAACAATGATAACTACATTTTATTTGCGGGAATATTATCTTAGGTTTGTTTTTTTTTTTTTTTTTCATTTATTCGCTCCATAATCCGCGGCATGCCCAGGTATATACCTAAATACTGTAACTTAAATTGTAAAACAAGAAAATACAACAACAACAACAACAAAAAAAAAACAAGAAAAAATAAGAATAGAGAAGGAACACCATTACCAAAAATTAAAATACATAAAAAATAAAAAAAATAAAAAACCAAAGTATAATAGAAAATCCAAAGATGATCAACGTATAATCTATTCGTCTTATTATCAACGATCAAATAATAATACTAATAATTATAATAATAATAATAATAAAATAATAATAATAATATTCGTAAGAATAATAAATAAAGATTTTATTGAAAAATATAAATTTGACGAATTAAATTTAGAAACGAAGATTAGTCTTTTCGTTTCTTCTTTAAAATAAAATGAAAATCGATTCAATTCATCTTTGTATTTTCCAACCATAGAAAAAACAAAAACAAAAAAATAACCAACGAAGAATAATACGCTACACCGAAAGCACCGTAATATGATAAGGCAACACGTCTAAATAATATTACGAAAAACAGGAATAATGATGATTCAGTTTTACTCGGAATGGGAATGATGATTATGGCTTCGTCTCAACAACAACCAAAAATATTTCTAACAAAATGTACAATATACAAAAAGGGGATGATGTTTAGAAAGATTTGTTTGTTTGTTTATGGCGATGGTGAACATGGTAGTAATAGTAGTAGTAATAGTAGTAGTAATAGGTGTTGGTGATGGTGTTGTAAGTGATGGTAGTAATAAGTGAATACTGTGATTCGTGATATTGTGAAATGAGATAGAAACTAAAACATAGAGAGATAGAAATAGAGATAGAAAGAAAAGAAAAGAAAAAAGAAAAAAAAAATAATAGAAAAAGGAAGTAAAGAAAGAAGTTTTATGTTGCGTGATATGTTGGAGTAAAAGAAAAGAAAAAAAAAAAAAATAAAGAAATGGAGAAAAAGAACGTATGTGTGGTATATATGGTTGTGTATGTATGTGTTTGTGTGTGTGTGAGAGAGAGAGAGAGAGAGAGAGATAGAAGAAGATCCTGAAGAAAGTGACACGAGCAGCACGTGTCGGCTTACGGAAGAGGCCCGGTTTACCTTCAGAGCGACGATTTCCGCATATCCTAGTGTCCCGCCACGGAGGGTCGTCACCGACCTCTTTAACCCCAATCCCTGTGCATTGACCCGTAGGTGGAAGGAAACATGTTTTATTTTATTTGTCAAAATTATCTACATTTTTGTCAGTCTACTACATATCGGAGACTGTTCAATGGAACATTCATTGGGATTGTTCTTCTTTTTTTTTTTTGTTTGTTTTTTATTTATATTTATTATATTTATTTATGTTAATTAATTAAGCCGCTTCGTCCACGTTTAAAACACATTGCGAATGAATATAAAAATATTTCTTTGTTAATTTTTTCTTTTTTTTTTTTTTTATAGATTATGATAGTTATCAGTTATTGCAAACGATATCATTGTACTTGATGAGATGGTTTTTAAAGAAAAATTATATTATTTTGTGAAAATTATAAGTAATCATTTGTTAGACGTGTGTGTTCAATTGATTGAAAAGTATTTGAATAATATTTAAAAAAAAGAATTTTATGGGATTTAAAATATATACAATAATATATTAAATGATTTCGTTCGCAATGTGTTTTATATAGAAATATATTTTTACGTGGGAAAATAGATAAAGTGATAGAACGATAGATAGACAAAGATCAAAGTTAAATTATAGAAGAAGAAGAAAAAGATGATAATGATAATGATGATGATGATGATGATGATGATGATGATGATGATGATGATGGTGATGAAAAAAATGATAAAACGTAAATGTGTTATTCGTATAATAATCGACGAAGCGACGATTAATGTTTTTAACAATCGATCGATACGAGTATTGAGATAGAAATGATAAAATATTGAATGTGTATTGGGCCAATTTACTCAGCTTATTTTCGATTACGTTTTACTCTTCCTATTTTGTTAGATTTCACATAATAATATGAATGAGAGAGAGAAAGACAGAGAGAGGAGAGGGGGGGAAGGTAGAGGGAATAAATTCTGCCGATTGCAATTTTACGACTAGTCGTTTACGCGAGACCTCTTGTTCTCTTGATAACTATTGGCTATTAATTTTCCTTATCTTCAAAAACAAACATACATTTAGATGTATAAATATATGTATATATATATATAATATTATCCAATAATATTCTCTGGTATTGGAGGAGGAGGAGGAGGCTCGTAACGATCGTTGTTAAAAATATAATACAAAATAATATGAAATTTGACAAATGTCGCGAGTTGTGTTTTTTGTTTGTTTGTTATAAAATTGATTTTTCTAATCCAAAAAAAAAAAATATACTCTTCTCTAAAGTATGACAAAACAAAAAACAAATATCAAAGTTAGTATGCTCGATATGTACAAAAAAAAAAAATACATTAAAATGTTATTTCATTTTGATCTTTCTTTATCCTTACATAGGATGCTGCAAGAACGTTTTTATTTTTTGATAAAATTAACAAACAAAAAAAAAAAAGAAAAAAAAAAAGATAGAACAAATTATTTAATAAAATGAAAAAGAAATTATATTTGAAAAAAATCTTTGTTTTTTTTTTTTTTTTATCCGTTTAAGAAAACACATTTTTCAACGTGAAAAGATGTATCGCTTAACTCGCGTTACACGTAAAGTATTTTACCTTTTTGAATAGTTTAACGGAGGTTTTCACAAGTTCACAGTGGTACCTTGTAACTCCCAGGTGCATACACCACCATAGCTTTACGCTAAGAAGGAAGGAAGGAAGGAAGGAAGGAAGGAAGAAATGTACGTAAGTACGTAGGTACGAACGTAGGTACGAACGTAGGTACTGTAGGTAACGCGAATGAGAATTTAGCAGATCGGTCTCTAAAGGGCAGGAAACGAGCGACAAGAGCGTAGAAAGCGATACATTTTCACGTTAAAACCCTTCCTTTCCGTGTGCCAAATCCTTGGGGTGTCGTTGTTATATATAAATCCTATATACACGCACATTCTCACATCTTATATATATATATATATAAATATATTTGTGTGCATGTAAAAAGAGAGAAACACACATTTACGTAGTTTTGTAAGGTACCTTTACTGCTGAGAAGACATCAAAACCAGGGCTTCCTAGTTCTCCTTTTTGCCCTTTCTCACCGGGTCGACCCTGCAAATGAACAACGGTAAACGTGAAATGAGAGATAATTAAAAGAAATACCGCTTAAGTTAAGTTCACACGTAACACACACACATACACACAACCTTACTAGAAAATGTTGCCCTTTTTTTTCAACATAATTATTTTCTAAAGTTCAAAATTTTATTCGACAAATATATAATATTGTAAAAAAACAAAACAAAATGAAAGAAATTAAAAGTAAAACAGGTTTTGATCGTTGGGTTTGTTTAATAATGTATGCATACATGAGGAAAAAAAAGAGTTGGAAGGGGGGATGGTGTAATTAAATTTTTAACAAATGTGAACCAAATAGGATAAAGTTGGTATTGATAGTAGTAGGTAAAGATTGGTAAACATTTCAACGTCGAATTTTCTGGTAATAACTTGGTCCGATTCTTTTTTTAGGTAAAAGAGGAAGAGGTGGGGGGAAAGGTTGTTGGCGAGCTTTTCGGGGGAATGGGCTAAGCACCTAAGTATACAATCCATAGTTTGCATGGTCTGTCGGTTGGTCAGCTCCGCAGGTTTGTGTACGTAGTGAGCAAGAGAAAGAGAGAGAAAGAGAGAGAGAGAGAGAGAAAGAGAGAGAAGCAAAGAGGTACACCTTTGAGTCAGTCGATCAAAGTCTTTTTTTATTTTTGTTCCTCTCTTTTACTTTCTTTCTTTCCTCATTTTCTCCTTCTCATCGTTTTCTTCTTCTTCTTCTTCTTCTATACCCTTTGTCCATCGAAAAGACAAATATCTAGGAATATTTGCGATGCACTCGTCTCTCCAATTTCCGTTTGTTTATACGGGTCGGAAACTACGATGCTTTGGGTATCCTTCGTTCCTCAATAAGATAAAGAAATAGATAGATAGATAGATAGATGGATAGATAGATGAATAGATGGATACGTAATACATAGAAAAGTAGCTCCATAAACGATCGTTTCTTTCTAGGTATTTTTCTATAATACACATTCGTAAATTTATGATTGGTATGACACTGTTTTCTGTCATCGTTCCAATGGTCAAAACAAAATTCGATTACACCTTGTTGGTATCATCTTTTTCTCTTGGATTAAAAACATGGTTACATGGAAACAACATTGCTGCATACATATACATATATATATATTTTTTCTGGGTATGTTATTTTAAAATAGAAACACCTGAACCTATTTTCTATGTCTCACTCACTCTCTCATTCGAGTTATTGCATCATTTTTTTTTTCTTTCCTCCCCTCATTCCTTTTTTTTTTTTTTTTTAATTTAAATCAATCGAAATTGTTTTTATCCGGTGACAGGGTGGTAGAAAATACAATAAATTGTTTACCAATGACATAGAAAGAGATTAAATTCTTTTTTCCTTTTTTACTTTTCTTGTATGCAACGTTGATAACGTTTTATATGTTTCTTTCTTTTTTGTATTTTTATTTTTTAAATAAAAACCAATCAAATGATACGATATTCGTGTGTTTCCCCATAGAAAAGTTTCAATTTGTTTTTCGAAAGAAAAAAAACAAAAACAACAACAACAAAAAATAGAGAAAGTGAGAAAGAGTAGGTGGACAGACACGACGGGATGTCACTCGTATATCAGATTTATCCTCTGGTAAATTCGCACTTCGAAAATGGCCCTTACGACTACGACGACCAGCGTGATAAGTCTTTCCATTGCTTTTGTACACGTTGCTGCTGCTGCTGCTGCTGTTACACACATACACATACATATATATCAGTAAGGGGAGGAAGGAAAGTGGACAAATGTACGTCAGATTGTCGACAGAGGTGGTGGTGGTGGTGCTGGTAGCTGTCAACAAGGTAGAGAACATGTCCTCTGTTTTATTTTTTTTTTTATTTCATTATTTCGACGTTTCTCTCTCGTTCGCAGGGAAGAGGGGGGGGAATGAGGGACAGATTTTTCTCGGACATAGCTAAAATAAGTGAGAGGAGAGGTAGGGTGTGATCGACGTTTAATGAAATTTATTCGATCCTTTGGTACCTGTTGCATTTTGTTTGTTACGATATATCTTCGATCACGTAACCAGACACAAGAGGTGTCCGCCGAATGACATACAAATTGGATTTTACCCTTGTCCGAACGACAACAACAACAGCAACAACAACTAACAAAAAAAAAAGAGAGAGTGACAAAAATTGTTTTGCCAATGACAAATATTTTCATCCTAATAATTCTATCCACCTAATCCTAATTTCATTTTTAATCCTAATTTCAATTTATGTATGTATGTATGTATGTATGTACTTACAAATTACAAGATCACACGTATGATGATCTCGCGTTAAATTTCCCGTCAAAATGTGAATTTCATGATATTTATCAAATTAAACGATAATATTATAAAAAATTTAGTTATTTCTATATTAGATATTATTATTATTGTATATTATTATTATTTTTTAGATACTATTCTATATTATTATATTTAGTATAATGATAATATTATTAACTTTTAATATTATATATTTATATAATATCAGATAATATTATATAATATAATTATTATTATATTTTAGATACTATTCCATATTATTATATTTAGTATAATAATAATATTATATTATAGAATTTATATAATATTAGATTTATATAATATTATATTATAAACTTTTAATATTATATATTTATATAATAATAGATAATATTATATAATATAATTATTATTATATTTTAGATACTATTCTATATTATTATATTTATTATAATAATAATATTATATTATAGAATTTATATAATATTAGATTTATATAATATTATATTATAAATTTTTTTTAAATATTATATTTATATAATATTAGAGATAATATTACATAATATAATATTATCATTATACTAAATATAGTAATATAGAATAATATCTAAAATATAATAATAATAATAATAATATATACAATAATAAATTCTATATTATTATATTTAGGCACTATATCTATATACACAGATATTATTATTATATTTTTTCTAACGTAAATTAAAAAAGAAATTATATTAAATATCGTTCTTGTGAATTAGTTGAAGACATTGATAATTTGTAGATATGTTGATTTTTTTCTAAACTTACCGGATCTCCTTTAGGTCCGTCCAAACCGATTGGTCCCTGAAAGAAGATACTTATTAACCAATGTTCTTAATTATTAATAACATTTGAACGACGAACGAAAGAAAATGAAAATTCGTGTGGGCTTATAAAAAAAAAAAAGAAAAAATCATATAGCCTTGAAGATATATCATTCCTTGACGTAATATGTATAGAATTTATATAATAAATATATATACATGTATGCATGTATATACATATTTAAACACATACATACACATATGTATATATATATATATATATATATGCAAGTAGGATGAGCAAACGCGACAGAGATAGAGGCACCATTGCAAAGGTAAATGTATGAGAACGATAATAATCATACACTGCGTATCCAAATACGACGGCTGTTAAATTCAATGTTATACCAATCTCGTTGATATCTCGTTTTAAACGTGGTCCTTTTAAACGTAAAATTCAAATATTGGCAGCGCAAGTCATGGCCGACTAGTTACCTAGCCTAGCCTAGCCTATCCTAGCTTGGTAATTCGAATGACGATGCTGTTACGTCAACCTCATCGTGTGTGGTGTTCGGTTGTGTTATTATCGGTATTATTTCACGGTTTAATGCTTCTTCGCGTTTATCAATTATATCAATTATCCAACAACGATTATGATCGATACCACCAATATTTTTTGACTAAAGATAAAAAAAAAAAATAAATAAATCAAAAAGGAATAGAAATAGTGAATATGAAAAAATATTAAAGAAAGAGGTTTTAAACGAGACGTTTATTTTTAATCAAATGATTTTAATTTAATAAAATAGACATAGTTAATATGAAAATATTAAACGAATCGTTTATTTTTAATAAATAAAATGATTTTGATTTAATAAAATAGAAATAGTGAATATGAAAATATTAAACGTATCGTTTATTTTTAATCAAATGATTTTAATTTAATAAAATAGAAATAGTTAATATGAAAATATTAAATGAATCGTTTATTTTGAACTTATCAATGTGATAAACCAGATGGTATCTTTGTATAATATTATTCAAAATCAAACAAACTTCGATAATGATGATCAAATAAAAATAATATTTCTTTTGATTTAAATTTAATTAAATATATATATTATTTCTTTTTATTTTAAAATGTTCCAACGATTGATATTAATATTCGCGAACCGTTTGGTTTATTGATCGACACGTAATAATATCGAGTAGTAGTAGTAGTAGTAGTAATAATAGCATATCAACGTTCAATATATTATTATCATATATAGAGATATCAATGAGGATGATGATGCGTCCAATAGAAAGAGAAAGAGAGAGAGAGAGAGAGAGAGAGAGAGAGAGAGAGAATACAGGAAAACCTCGTATTGGACACCTATAATAAGCTGTTATGCGAATATTACACTTCCGCTGCCAATTTTACAAAACGTGCCAACGTATTTGGAAATTATACAGACAAATTGTCATATAGAATATAGGCGAAAAGTATTTGAGATTTTTTATATGAAATTGCTTTGAAAAAAATATGAATCCAAAAAAAAATAAAATAAAATAAAATAACAGATAGAGAGAAAGAGATAGAAATAAATAAATAAAAAAATTAAAAAAAAGAAGAAACAAAATGAAAAGAAAGACAGAAAAAAAAGAGAATTGGTTCGATGAGGAAAATAAAGCTGAGGAGGATGATTGTAGGTGGGGATGAGGGTAGTTTCAATAGATCAAAGCTAAAGAAAAGAAATTGTTCAGCATGATGATAAATAATAATTGAATTTGATGATTTGCAATCACATAAAACGATGATAATACAAAAAGAGAAAGAGAATTAAATATAACGATTGATAACGAGCTACAAGACATGATAAAAAGAGAGAGAATATGAGAATGTGTCAGTGAGTGAGTGAGAGACAGATAGATAGATAGATAGATAGATAGATAGATAGAGGAATGGAAAGAAAATAAAAAATAATATACCGGAAAACCGTTCTTGCCCGGCGTCCCGGCCACACCCTGTAAGAAGGGGTATAACAAATTAAAAACTCGTTTACTATGGGAAAAGGGATTTTTTAAGGTGGTTTACTTTCGCGTTCATGCAAAAGCGTTTGTTGTTGTTCCGTGCCCACGAGTCGTGATTGTGATCCTATCGTTGTCGTGTGGATCGTATGGAAAATAAAAAAAAAAATAAAGCGAAAGATAGAAAGAGAGAGAGAGAGAGAGAGAGAGAGAGAGAGAGAGAGAGAGAGAAAGAGTAAAATAAAAAGAAAGAGAAAGAAAAAGAAGAAAAAGAAAAATAAAACACCGTAAGTACGTTCCGTTAAGGAAGCAAACCGATAATTATTCCGACCAATTAGATATTCCCGCAGCGTGCAAACGTGCACACGGCCAATGGGCGACACGTATGCTTGTATATATATATATATACTACGACATGACTCTGACCACAGGATCTTGGGATACGAGTTAGCGAGTACCACAATTCTAAGTGAACAAGAGAGATAAATAGAAAAATAAAGTAAAGAAAGAGAATCGCGATAATAAAGGGGTTGGTAGTAAGCTTTTTAAACAATTCTGGATTAAAAAGAATGATTCGTGTTATTTCTAAGTATAACCTATAAGTAAAACCAGAAAAATTGGTTGTTCAATTTCGTCACTCTAACATGAATTTCCTGAAACCTACAACTGTCATTTGAAAAATATCAAGAAGCGAGAGAAAAACATGAACTCTTTGCGACACAGAATTTCAGATAATAAAATGTTGCATTGAAATTTGATTACATTTTAAATGAAACAAAATTGGTATATTTTTGATTAATAAAGAGGTATTATTACATAATGTAAAAACATAAAAAAAAAAAGAATTTAATAATAAAGAGTTAACCAATTGCTTTGAGTAAATAAGCATTTGCTATTGCTATTGCTATTGCAATAATATTTCGAGATGGGACTGGAAATGTTCCACCGTGCAAAAAGGTGGGACACTTTTAATCCTACTGTGGTGCCTAAAAGAGTTAAAAAAAACGTTCCGGTGTCGGTAGAAGGATTTTTGTAAGCGTTCATTGCA